GTCTTTAAGTGTTTGCTCTGCTACTTTTCCAGGGGAAATTTTGAAAGACAAATCTGGATTTACTTTTTTAAGCACTTTTTCTGCATTGCCACTACCACTGGGAACGTGCCATATCCCGGAACAGCTTCAGCAGAAAGCTCTGGGACCCTCGGGTGACGTTTCCAGACCTCCTCCCCAGTCACTGCAGCCATCTCAGCTGGAGAGAGGAGACATCTACTCCTCACTGTCAGCCCCTAGGAGCAGGCTAGAAGCAGCAACATGACCAAGTACCTCTCCCCTTTCTCCTCACCCCTATGCCAAACGCAGGAGTCCAGCCCTGCAGCCAGAAGGAAATAAATCCCCACCCCAACAACCTTGTTACCCGGGCACCGTCACACAGGGGCCTTAAGAGAGAAATACCGTAAGCGTGACAGAGATATCAGGACAGCCACACCGCTTTACGAGGCAATAACCCGCTCCCGTCCCTCTGAAGAGCTACTTGGTCTCTGACCTCCTTATGGTCTCCTGCCAGAGAGCCTGGCTATTGCACAGCACTGCAACGGTGCTTAATTAAACAGCCAGGAACACCATGGGGCAGAGGTAGGAAGACGTGGGGCAGAAGAGCTTCCTGTAACCCCATACCATGTGCCTGGCCAGCAAGGACAGTTACCAGGCGGGGACCTCCTTGGGAAGGGACACCTTGGTGACACTATCTCCACTGGAGCCAGGAACATGCTCACATGGGATGTGGCAAACACCAGCCAAGCATCTTCCCTGCCCTGTGGTTTCTGTGTTTAAACCAACCCCAGTCAGATGCAATGTGAAGCTCCTGCCCCTCAAGGAGTCCATCTGCCCCTACCAGACCCTGGCTCTCCCCACCACCCGGGCTGTTGGCACCCACTGCCCAGCCAGCCCCAGCACCACTGGGGTCTGCTCTGCCTGCAGATCAGCACCGTGGAGGTTCTGGGTCTCCATGGGCACATGCTACCCAGCGAGGACAATCCTGCTGGGGAAGGGTGGCATTGCCTAACCACTGGAAGCCGAGGGCTGCGAGACTGAGACTCTGCACCTGCAGAGTTTGGCAGGGCTGCAAAGACTCCTGCAGCAAGCATTTCGGGGAACACCAACTCCCCTGGGATCACACGTGTGTCCATCTGGGCTCTGGCCCATGCAACACCTGCCACTTATTCGCTGATGCCCATTAGCAGCCACTTAAGAGGCACCACATCCAGCAAGAGATGGCCAAAGAAATGGCTGCAGAAAGTAACTGCCAGATCCTGGAGGTGCTCTGGGGATCTCTAGGTAAGTGCAGCAATCACCCCAGCGCTAACGAACCCGCACCAAGCCCATCTGTGCCCCTGCACCTGCACACTCCTGTCCCCCACAGGCGGGGACGGGCAGGGTGAGCTTCATCCAGCTCCTCACCACGCTGGCCACGCGCCCTCCAAACCCTTCATCCCCTGGCCAGGCGCTGGTGTAATTAGCAACCCCAGCTGCCAGCCTGCTTTGATGAGAAGCCTCAGTCTTTGGTTGACGTGAAATGTATAATTTGGATGATGGAAATAGCCTCTACAAAGCACATGTGGTCGATCTGTCCCAGTGACCTCTCCTGTTTTGCACGGGCTGCTCCGCTTTAAATGTGGTTACATCTCCAGCAGGTCTACAAAGGCTTCGGTGCCATCAAACAGATGACACAGCAGCAGCAACTGAATGAGATGTAGCATTTGGCCACTGTTAAATAAACTGTACTTTTGGCCAACGGAGGCTTGGGAGTTCTTCTGGCAGGAGAAGCCCAAGCTGGCGATGACAAGTCAGGTGTGGAGACCAAAGACGCACAAGGTCTCCACAAACCATTGGAGCAGGGAACTCGGGTGAGGCAGAGGCAGCACAAGCTTCTCACACAGGTCAACAGTTCAAGGACAGTAAGATCTGCAGAGGCTGAAAGTCCCTTCAACTCCCATCTCTTCCCAGCGCAAACCAAGCTTGCGGGTCTTCTCATGCCACTCTGGAGAGAGTGTCCTCCAGCAAACATGGCAAAACCACTCAGGCTGATGTTTCTCTTGCCAAAGGGATCCATAAAAACAGCAGAGAAACCTTCCTTCCCTCCCAAGCACCTCCTGTAGCAACCAGGAGAAAACCCCTCTCCTGGTCCCGCTCACCAGCCCTAGCAGGGTGTGAAGCCCACTCTCCCAAGCAAGTGGGATCCTGTCCCTTCTGGCTCTGTCCCAACTGCAGGAACAACCCCTCCCTTGAGGAGCCAGGTTGTGGAAGATACTGTCACCCCTGGAGAAGGTTTCATCTGCCTAGATCGCACCAGACAACAACCAAAGGGGTCAGGACCAGAAGCTCAGCATGTGTCCAGGTTCATGCATCCACAGCCATGGTTCTGCCACCAGCACACATGAAGTGACAGAACAGCCACCACCACTGTCACACTGCTCCCTCCTCTTGCACATCTCCACCTCCTGTCAGCATCATAGAATGGTTTGGGTAGGAAGGGACCTTAAAGCCCCCCCAGTGCCACCAGCTGCCCTGGGCAGGGACACTTCCCAGCATACCAGGTTGCTCTAAGCCCCCTCCAACCTGCCCTTGAACCCCTCCAGGGATGGGGCAGCCACAGCTTCTCAGGGCAACCTGGGCCAGGCTCTCACCACCCTCACAGCAAATAAGTTCTTCCCAGAGAAATTCCCCACCACACGGACTGTCAAGGTCACAGCTGGCTTGGTTAAGCAGCTGTGACTCAATAGCACAGCTCCCATGGATAGGAGAACAACCCCATGGAAGGGAAGTGACAATTCAGTAGGGTTAAGCTCCTTCCCTGCCCACTCCTGGCATTTTCCCCACCTGACACTGGACAACCAGCCCTCTGTCCCCACCGCAGGAAGCCTGGCACTCCATACATCTTGAAAAATAACCTGTTTCAGCAAACACACAGAGCAGAGGGGTTCAGAGGACAAATTCAGCAGAGTTTGGCCCTCACGAGACAGCCCACCAAGCCTTCAGATGGTAAGTGCAGTCCAAAGGGATGCTCAACACCTCCCAAGGTCAAGGTCAGCCCTGTGGCCCTGACACAGCCAGGGGCTAGGGAACCACCCCAGAAACCAAAGCAGGTGTTGGGGGCATTTCCACAACCCACAGTCTTCCTCAGTGTGTGCTCAAGTCCCTGCAGGCAGCATCTCCAGTGCTCCAGCAACTGCCACAAACCAGAAGCCACTCCCACACGGGCCAGTCCTGCACCCTCAGGGAAGCTGCAAGAATTTCTCTTGGGGGTGCTGAGGAAACCCCTGCCTAAGAGCAGAGCGTCACAGGGGGACACTGAGACCCCCCCCCAGGGAATCCAGCACCAGTAGGTGGAGATGTGTTACTCCCATAAGCGACAAATCCTCCTGCAATCCTGCCCTGCTCCCATGGCATCTGGTGTCACCCTGGCATTAGGGCTGAGGACGGAGGTCCATGAGCCCAGCTGCAGGACCACTAGGGCAGCCTGAGGCCCCGTGGCGAGGCTGACCTGACGTACCCAGCCTGCTCATCCTCAGGGTCTGCCTGCCCACGCCTCGAGTTCACCCCGTGGCTTTCCACCAGCAGCCCCAGTGAGCCCCGGGAGCTGGGGGATCAGGCAGGGTGCACCCCACAGCTGCTGCACTGAGGGCGATGGTCCGGGGAGCTCCATGCCTGTGCCCCCACGCAGGGGCACACACCATGCCAGAGCCCTGCACCGGAGCAGGGGCTGTGACAGCCCAGAGCGGCAGGGTGTGCAGCGGGGAGCCAGAACCAGCCAGCACGGCTTCATGGGCACCCGAGTCCTCCATGTACTCCAGCTCCTCGCTCCACCTCTCCAAACCTCCTCCAGCCAGGGCGAATCTCTTGTCTTTCTCCCCAAGGCAGAGCTCTGCTCACCGTGCAGCTGGGGAAGGCATCTCAAGGCAGCTCTCTCGAGCTAGAGAAGCTCCTGGCCCCCCAAAACAGGGTCCCAAGTGGGGAACTTGAGGGGATCAGACACACCAGAGCTCCCAGCCCTGCCCATAGCACTGCTTCCCCCCCGACTGCCAACCACCAGGGCTTTAAACCCAGATAGCTCAGGCACGGGGAGCACCATGATGGCTGCACAGAAATCATTTGCCACCTTCTCACGCCAGTTTGCCAGACCAAGCAGAGCTCTTTGGAGCCACAAGCTCCTCTGGTCCTTGCCCAGCTGAGCCCACGGGCCCTGCCGGTCGGGACGCAGGGGAGCGTGGGCTCCATTGGGGTGCAGAGGGGTCCCGAGGCCATCGCAGTTTCCTGGAGATCAGCATGCGGCCACAAGGGAAACACAAGGGCCAGGCACTCCTGTACCAACACCTAGTGCCACAGCCCACAGCGGGGGCAGCAGGTCCCCAGGGCAGAGGCATGGCCAGCGCTCGATGCTCTCAAGAAAACCCACCGTGCAGGCTCAGGGATCAAAGCCCTCAGGACAACAAAACACAGGCGGCCACGGGCTGGAACCAGCTCACACAAACCCTGTGGCAGCATCCTTGGAGGACCCTCCTCGGCCAGAGCACAAGACCCTGGAGGAGCTCTGGATCTGAAGCCTCCTGCCCAAAGTGCAGGCAGCGGTGCGGATCCTACACATGGCACCTCCACCAGCAGTCTCCCGGTGAGAGCAGGCAAGGTCAACCCCCAGGGCAAGCCATCGGTTGCCATCAATGGCAAGGGAGTGGCTGTGGCCACCTGGCTGGACAGCTTCCATCATCTTTGGTGGCGTGTAGAGACAAGGGGTGACTGAAAAGACACGTGGGGGAGGACAAGCTCAACCACCACCTGCCATTCTTCCTGGCGAGGAGGCTGGAGCCAAGGCGAGAGGAGGCCGGGTGCCGGCCCTTGGGCTGGCCGATGGCACCTTCGCCCTCAGCATCCCTTTGCCCCCGCTCCAGGTGTCCTCTGGCAGGTCCCTCCCGGGTTGGCAGGAGCCCTCGACGCCTCAGGCCACCGAAGCCCGTCCGTTTCCCCATCCCCTGCCGGCGAGGCGCGACGGCCGCACTCACCCAGCATCTGGCTGAAGAGGAGCTGCTCCAGGTCGCCCAGCACCGTCACCACCAGCTCGGGGTCCACCTTCAGGTAGGGTTTCTCCTCAGCGCCCGCCGCCACCGCCGGCCCCTTCCCACCCAGCAGCTCGTCGTCGCACTTGCCGCCCCCCCCCGCCTCGGGGGCCTTGCTGAGGGGCTTCACCTCGGCGTAGGGCCCGCGGGGGATGCGGCTGGGCTTCCCGGCGGGCGGCGGCTTGGCGGGGCCGGCGGGGCGCGGCGACAGCAGCGAGTGCTCGGAGCGGGACAGGCTCCGCGACATG